CGCCGGAGAGAGCAGCGCCGAGCTCCGGTTCGCAGCTGGGGTGGAGAGCAGGGGTGTCCCGCTCCCAGGTTTGCCGCCGATGCCTCCGTGTTGTGGCTCAGCCTTTTTTCTTTTCTCTCCCTTCTGTTACGCAGTGACCAGGACAGGGGACGATTGACCCCTTCGCCAGATATAATTGTCCTCTCCGATAATGAGGCATCCAGTCCCCGTTCCAGCTCTCGTATGGAGGAAAGACTGAAGGCAGCAAATCTTGAAATGTTTAAGGTAAGGGGTTTTGCGGAGAGCAGTTCTGCTGCAGGGGGGGCTCTGATTTTCTGGAGGATTCGGGAGCCGAGGGGGTTCCTGAGCGATGTGGTAGCTTCTGGGCATGAAGGTTTGGCTCTTGCATCCTTGGTTATCCATGGTACAAATCCTTGCTTGTGTTAAAGCTTCCTCTTGCCACCAGGGCACAGGCCGCAGGTTTCAGCTGTTGGAGCTGTGGCTGATTTTCTGCCTCTTTGCAGGGTAAAAGCCTAGAGGAGCGACAGCAGCTGATCAAGCAGCTTCGGGATGAGCTACGGCTGGAGGAGGCCAGGCTTGTGCTGCTGAAGAAGCTGAGGCAAAGTCAGCTGCAGAAGGAGAATGTGGTACAGAAGGTGAAGCTCTGACCGGCGGCGTTTGGGGCTGGGTGGGAGAACGGGACGGTGCTGGGCCTCGCAGGAGCCTGTTAGTGGGCAAGCACAGAGACTCGCTCTGCTCCTGGGCCTTCCTTTACTCCACGTTTGTCCCCCTGCGTGATATTTCTTACCCACGTGTGTCTGTAGCAAATCCACAGCCCATCCTACGGAGCGTGCTGCCCACAGGGCCGGCCGAGGAGGTGAATCTGTGCAGCCCTGCAGGGTTAGCAGTGACGTAGCGCCGACGAGGCTTGGTCTGCGTCGGCTCTGCCGAGGGATTTCCTTTCCAAGCGCCGTGCGCTGATGCTGGTGCTCATTTTCTCTCCATCTAGACTCCAGTTGTCCAGAATGCGGCGTCGATTGTCCAGCCATCTCCTGCTCACGTGGGACAGCAGGGACTGTCCAAGCTTCCCTCCAGGCCTGGAGCTCAGGGGGTTGAGCCTCAGAACTTAAGGACATTACAGGTGAGCCTTCCTGACACCCATTTTCTGCGCAAAAGACTAGTGTTTTGCTTGGGGCGCACGCGACGCTGCACGTTTTTCTCTGCCGGACTGAGATGCCTTTTCCAAGAGCTCCCAGTTTGGTGTCATCAGCAGACTTGTCCATGCCGGGTTTGCTGGCTGTGGCACCTTGAGGCGCAGACGTCGCCTGTAAAACCAGCAAATGTCGGCGACGTTCCGATGGTTTGGTGCGTCTCGGTGCCCTGCTGAAGGCCGCCAGAAGCTCTTTTCAGTGGTGCCCAGTGACAGGACAAGGGGCAATG